ATCATACACATGGTGCATTTTTGTGATATGGAATTGTGCATTTTCCTATATCCTTATATATAGTTTAGATACATTATTTTTAAGAAAAAATTGTATAAATCTTATTAAAACATGATTTTTTATAGGGTCTAATTATAATAAAATTTTATTATTCAGTAACAATTCAATTTATTTATATCAAAGAATTTTTTTAATTATAAATGTTATATTTGGGGGACGAAGTCCCCCAGCAAATCGCATATTCTAGTTATTCTAGAAAATTTGCAATGACTCATTACACTACAAATATAGTTCTAATTAAATAATTGTTGTCGCGTCACGTAACAATTTTTACTTTTACGCGAAAATTTTTGCACAAACTTTTACATCATAAGATCATAAGATACAAACTCAGTCACAGTTACTAATAACAATAAGAGAAAAGTCTACATTGTTATTGTTATTTTGTACAACTAAAAATATTATAAAAAGACCCATTCTTTTATTATAATTTTTCATAATTTTTCATAATTTTATCCCATCTCTAAACTTTCACAATAATTACCTCCAGCTATTCCCACACTTCCAACTCACATACCTAAAAGAGAGACGTAAAGAAAAGGGCCTATAAGAAGATCTAATAAAGAAAAGTTCTAGACGAAAGAAGATAAACCTAAAAAAAAGATGATGAAAAAAAAAATGAAATGAAACGCCACATACAAAAACCCACACACAAACCCACACTCCCACACTCCCAACCTGCACTCCCACTCCCACTCCCACACTCTTTCGCAATAATTTTTCATAATTTTATTTCATCTCTAAACTTTCACAATAATTACCTCCGGCTCTTACATAATTTTTGGTTAAAAATTTTGTTCTATTCTCTACTCTGCTTCTTTAAAAGAGTATATAAATGGAAAGAAACTAAGGAAATATGTGAGAGAGACAAGAATTGGAAAGTAAGAGACGAGAAGTGAGAGGTACAGTACGTCAAACCATTTTCATAAAGCTAAAGAGTGGCAATGCGTTACCCTCATTTCTGGTGAAGGTGAACAAGTGGATGCAATGATCAAGGAAGTTACGGCAACCTTGTGAGCTGGCAGGTCTATCTATGATAACTCTGTTAACTGACGGACCTTGCTGAGATACGAATAAGATCTTCTCAGTGTTGAGGTCTACTGTTCCGCAATGAGGAATAGTTATGTACCTTCCTCAACTTTGACATCATGCAATTGATTTGTTCTCATTGAGGACTTTTGGATTCAGAGAACTGGAAGCACTTCGTGGCCACAGTTTTACTGTGAACGTCCTTCTCTGTTTTCAGAATTTCTGGATGATAACATATCATCTGTGTGTTCAGGAGAGATGTCAGTGAAAGAATGCAATAACCTAAAGCTGTGTTTTTGTAAGTTCTTTCAAACAGATACTCGTAGCTATACCTTTTATTGTGCAGTTTTCAGGACCAGACGGTGAAAATATCGACACTAATATATAGGAAGAAGATCCATACTGCTTCATTATGTTACCTGATACTTTAGAAGGATACTGCCTCACGTCACCCTACCAGATGGTGGGATGAAATTCTGAAGTAGAGTACTTAGCAAAAGCTAACTCTCTTTTACTTTTATTTCTACAGCAAATTTTTCGTGCTTCTATCACTTCTCCTGTATTTTAAAGTGATAAAGATGAAAGTAGAACAAGGTAAGAGACCTGTTCCTTACTGATAACACACGCGTCATCTCAGGATACCGAATCATTATAATTTAATGGTTAAATTATAATGAGGGTGCCGCAAAATCTTCTGGCTCTTACCATAATTTTTGGTTGAAAATTTCTATTCTGCTTCTTCAAGAGTATATAAGTGGAAAGGAGATGCAGATGCTGCAGGAATATTTAAACGTGATGCAAGTGCGCCAGTTTGTGAACGTGAAGTGGATGCAGGAAAGGTGGAAATGTGTCGCAGATGCAAGAAACGTAATGCGGATGCAGGAACTTATAAACGTGAAGCGGATGTGGTAATCCATAAATGTGCGGTAATATTTTTCTTTATTATGGTAAAGTTTTCAACTGCGCAACTTAGATAATTGTTCCCTTATAAGGATGCCATAGAATTATTTGTTTTTTAGTAATTTTTAATTTTTATTTTTGTTTTTCATTACAATTTTTAAAAATTATGGCAATTCAGTTTCTTTATCATAATTAATCATTTACATACTATTTACATTTTAATTAATTTTCATGATCCTTATTTGAAATTTGAGATATACGAAAAACGTGAAACATGTATACAAAAAAAAAGATTATTTTCAAAAATATGTAGGCTTCGTTGAGTAATTTAGCCTTTACATAGAGGGGCCTAAATAAATAAATAAATAAAAAAAATTCGCAGAATTACTGTATAAAATGAATTAAAATAAAATTTACTCTCTAATTCCTCTAATTCATGATGCAATTTTTCAACCGTACCATAAAGTTTCACAAATTTGTCAATTGTCATATTGTTATACAACACGTTAGCATACTAAATATTTCACTCGTACGTCAAGATTCAATAAGAATATCAGATTTCGGTCTAAGCAGACGCATTAAAAACAAAAACAAAATTTCATAGGTCTTGATGACAATAACTTGGAGATAAATAAATCGATAATGATCTATAAATAGAAATAAAAGAAGATTGATTTTAAATCAATTTTCATGTTTTCAATATCTTTAATTTTTTCTATTGAAGTTTTATCTTCACACATCATTACCTATATTTTTAAAATTTTCAATTCTCGCTTTAATATTATCATCATCATATTTCCAAATTGAAAATTCATCATAATTTCTTTCCCTAAAAATACGTTGCATAAATACTCAAATCATCGTAAATAGCACGCACCTTCATCTCTTTTTTTTTTTATTCAGATTTTTGTGAGTTTATAATTTTTAATGTTATATTCTTATTCTTATCATTTTTAGAAAATAAACCTCCAAGGTTTATAGACATGACTGACAAATTTTTTTATAAAAAAAAAAAAAAAAAATTTTGTCCGTTAACAACTTTTATGTATTACATGTATTACGTATTAAAAGCGTTTTTTATGCTATATACCCCTATTTTCATTTTAAACCGCGAACGCGGAAACACATTGTAGAAAACACAATAAATACTAGAGGAGAATCGTCAACAACAATTAAAGTTACTCCTAGAGAACCGCATCAATATTAGTTACAAGAAGGATTCCGTGCCTGAAGGATGGAACCCTTATCTCAACACGTTAAGCTTGATAATAAATATCTTCTATTCGTTCCTCTTTTGTAAAAGTGGAAAACATTATCATCCCCTGGTTCCGCCGAATGGCGATACCAAATTCACAAACCATGTTAGTTCTTTAAAGTTTTAAATAAATTACGGCCAAGACTCATAATTTGGTACTACATCCCCACAGTCTTACAAATTGAATCTCTTAGTAAATTCAAAGTTATATATATATATCACAAGAAAGCGTCAAATATTTTTATCAAATCCATAGGCAATTCTAAAAGCGTCAAGAAAATAATTTATTAGTTAGCCAACTGCGTTTTAACATGGAATATGAATAAATCTTGATATAGATGGCACCGATGATGAAACTAAAGTTTGTCGATTTGATTAATTACATGCAGGTATAAAAACAAGAGATAAAACGAAACTAAAGAACTTAAATCAAGACCTTTCGTCTTCCCTACGCCCTTGAAAAAATGGTAGCCGTATTTGTTTCTGGGTTACACATGATCTGTGCACATGATCTGGATGATTATTTTCGGCTGTAATTATAAACTTCTTATTGATCTATCCTTTACGCTACACATATCACCTTTTCTTTCTTTTTTACTAATATTTTTCTAAAAATTGTTAACACGTCATTAACAACAAAATATGGTTTGTAAAAGGATGTGTTATTCATTAATATTACATCTCAAGACTAAGGAATGATTAGAGGAATCACGTAATAAGCCAAAATGTCATCTATGATTAAAAATATATTCGTCCAAACCTTAAATTATTGGAAAGATAAATGATGATATTAGAGTTGTCGAACTACACCAAGAACTTAGAGAGATCTGAACAATAGTTCAATGTATTGGGAATAGTATTGTAGCATGTTTAATTGTATTTGTAAAGTATCAAATAATTAAGAACAAAATCTATTTAAAGAAAGTCAACATCTATAATATTGACAAATAAAATATGCAATCTATCAGCAAAAGAAAGTAAAATATCGATGATATATACAAATTATTCGCGATCGAAGTATAATTATTAATTACCGAAAATAATCGGTGCACAGACCATGTGTAACCCAGAAACAAATCTGGCTACCATTTTTTCCGCTAACAAAATCTGAAAGTCATTGGACACTTGGCAAATTTAAGAACATTAAGTAAAGTACCACCATATTTGGAACATTGATCTAAACACTCGGAACCGGTTGCGAAAATTCGGGTGATCGGCATATTACTGTAATCAATATTGCTCAATGCTCATATTCGGCATGTATCCGGCAATAAATGACGTAACATGCCGGATATCGGCATCATGATACTGGATATAACTGAATAAAATTCGGATCCAGACGATGAACCGGTTTTAGCAAAATGTTTTGCATCACGTGAGTTTCTGATTTGTCCGCTAACTTTTAATTATTAAATAACTACTTATTGTATATACAATTATTCGACGTTTACTGCTTTTAAACGAATGATTTACTTATGTATATTAAAATATTAAAACTGCAACTAATTATTATCGTAAATTTACATTAACTTGTTTATTAATTGGTATCACTACAACACTTCAACTTGGAACGATTGCATACCATAAAGGCATAAATGACGTTTAATACACATTTCTTTGTATAAAATATCAATAGAGTTCTTTATTAAATTAATTAGAATATTCTGTTAACTTAATTTCAATGATTCAAGTTCATAAAAATTTTATGGCATTCTTACGTATTGTGCTGTTGTTTATAAATGCAGTATTTTTGCGATCAACTATAGTAAGCCAATTAAATTTAAAGTCAAGATGTTTCTTTCAATGATCCTTTTGAAGCATGTGATAATTGTGATATAGTAAAATTGACACGCAGCTCGCTCACGGGTTGTGTGCGACTTAAAATAGCGTTCATTAAAATGAAACGTAATACATTAGAATTTCTGTTGGAACTGAATACAATAATAGCAATAATAGTAAATTTTGAATGCAAATCATTTTATCTTATCCAATTAACTTGGGAAATTATTGATTAAACTAAACAACGGTAAACAACGGCGAATAAAATCTACCGATACCGAACGATCTATCGTGGCAGTATATATACTTCCTGATTCTTCTTTAATAAAATTCTTCTCCAAAAAAAAAAGACAAAAAAAAAATGCTTGACTTGTTCAATCTAGTTTGCTTTTTTGTGTTAGGATTTATAGGATGGGTTACTTATAAAATATTTATTTGGCCATTTTATGTTTCTCCTTTGAGAAAAATTCCTGGTCCACCATCTGCAAATCCAATTTTTGGAAATATTATGACACTTTTGAAAGAAGAGGTTAATATTTTTTTTTTATATTTTAATTTGTCTTTCATTGATTCATATGATCTTTTTTTGATATAGGAACCACAACTCAAATGGATACAAGAATATGGGAATATTATAAAATACTATGGGATATTTAATGAACCAACTCTTTTTGTCGCAGACACAAAAATAATTCAAGAAATTACATTAAATAAAGTTTACGATTTTATTAAACCCCCTAAAATGTTGGCTGATGCTATTATAATTGCCGGTAAAGGTATTGTACTTGCAGAAGGTGAAGATCATAAGAGACAAAGAAAAATGATGAACCCAGCTTTCTCTCATAATAATGTCAAAGTAATTATACTTCATTGGTGAAAATAAATTGTAAATTAATATTTAAATCAAGTTAATAAATTATATTTATTTCAATTCAGGAAATGATTCCAACATTTATTCGTGTGGCTTTTACCCTAAAAGATTTAATCGAAGATAAAGTAAACTTAGGAGAATCTGAAATTAATCTTACTCCTTATATCTCAAAAGCTACGTTAGACGTAATTGGCTTAGTAGGTGAGAAAAAATGATTTTATTCAATGTTGATATTTTAGGTGTTTTCTAATACTATATATATATATGTATATATTTTTAGGATTTAATTACGAGTTTAATTCATTGACATCTTCAAATGAATTGGCGGAAGCTTATGATTCTCTTTTAAATGGTCCAAACCCTATGCTACGCGTTGCAATTAGTATGCTATCAAATTATATTCCATTTATTAGAAAAATTCCAACAGACATAAATAAAAGATTTGCTAATGCATGTGAAGTTATTGAACGTGTATCAAAGAGATTGATCAAAGAAAAATATAATGAAGACGAAAATGGAGAATTAAAAGGAAAGGATTTATTATCTTTATTAATTAATATTAATAAGACATTACCTACTGAAGAAAAAATGACTGATGAAGAATTAAAATACCAGGTAATTAATATCATAAATATTTAAAAATTATAGCGTTTTGTATTATTATATATTTATTCAATGATATGTATAATAATATTTTAATAATTATTTATCTGTGAATATTTAGATTATGACATTTTTAATAGCAGGGCATGAAACTACGAGTGTTTCAACTTGTTGGGCTTTATATTTACTTGCACAACATCCACGTGAGCAAGACTTATTACGTGAAGAATTAGTTAAAGCTTTTCCTGATAAATCAAAATTTAATCCTACATTTGATGAAATTAATTCTTTGGAGTATTTAAATTGTATAGTTAAGGAAACTTTAAGAATACATTCTCCAGGTATATTTTTTTAAAAAAAAATTAAAAATTTATACAAATCATCTTAATAATTTTGTAATTTTTATTTTAGCACCATTTACTACTCGAACTAATCTTAATGATGAAACTTTTGGGGAATATTTCATTCCAAAAGTAATATATATAATATATATAATCTTATATTTTTAAAAAAATTCAAATTATTAATTGAATTTTTTTTTCTTATTAATTTATAATAGGATACTACAATAATGGTTGCAATATCAGCACTTCATAAATCGCCTGAAATTTGGGGCTCAACTGCCAAGGATTTTGATCCACAAAGATGGTTAAATCCTTCTTTAACCAAAAATGTGACAAATTTAAATTATTTACCTTTTCTTACTGGCACAAGAGCTTGTATAGGCAATAAAGTAGCTTTAAATGAATTTAAGATATTATTAAGTATGTTAATTAGGAATTTTGTTTTTAAACCAATTGAAGGATTTCAACTTGAACCAAGAACTATGGCAGTTAATAAGCCTAAACCGTATCTTGGATTAAACGTTTCTAAAGTTGAAGGGTAGTATTTCAGAAATTTATATAATATTTTTCCATTCATTATAAATTAGTTTAATTAATTTGAGACTTAAAATATGCCATAAATCTTTTAAAATAAATCATGTTTTGATCGAAGTATTCCATAATACGTCAATATAGATAGCTAACAACTAATATAATTGACTCAAATTTAAATTTGTGTAAAACTATTGTAAACAGCAAGTTTTAATTAATGGCTAAAAATCACACGTCGCCACGTCGCTTTGGGGTGTTCTGTCAACATATATAGTAAAATTTACTATTGGTTTTTTTTGATCATTTTAAATTTTGAAACCGGTTTATTTCCGAAATCTGGGTTTACAGCTGAAATTTCTTTATCAGATAATTGCTGAACTGAAGAAATTAAATCCATTCGTCGCCTATTTTCTTTTCCCAATGATATTTCTGATTCAGTATTACAGTCTAACCTCATATTCGATATACCGATATAAATTATCGGTGTAACTTTGAAATAATGATATTTCCTAAAACTTCATATATGTCCCGACATATCGTTATATAAAGATTTGACTGTATTTAGTCTTAAACTCTAAAGTAGTTATAAGTTTTGGTTCATCCATATTATTTAATTTTTCATATTTCTTTGCCTCTAGCTTCTGAGCTTCTATTTACGAGCTTTTTTTAAATGTTGGGCTTGTTTCGAAATTCGAGGCATTTTCCTATTAAATTTTTCGAAATTTTAAAACTTAAATAACTCACAAACTATTAACATTTATGTAATACTAAAAGTTTAATCAACTACATGATAACTTTAAGAAACTTGAAATACCTCGTTTTTTGTAAAAATCTTGAAGAAAAAATTTTTTCCCTATGAAGCTATGCTCAAAGGTATCAATTTTTATTATAAAAATGGATTCTTTTTTATTTTTAAAAAAAGCAAGATATTTTATAAAAAAGATATTTGGAACACCTTCATGAAATTTGAAACGAGAATAATAAGTTGTTATTTGAGTATAATAAATGCACCTATTTAGTGAGAGATTTCTTAAACTATAGTACTACATAGTTTAATACGGATTAAAATTCTATAGTAAATTTTACTATAGGACTTGATATAGTTTTGTGAAGCTATGTTGACAGAACACCCCAACGTCGCCTGTAATATCAATAATTTATGGATATTGTACGGTATTGTATTTATATTGGTTAACGTCAAGAAGTGACGTTAACCAATATAATACCACCGTACAATATCTATATTCAAATAAACTGGTACGAAATCTCGAAAATCATTTGAGCGACTGACACAAGACCGACAGGGCAATTATAGAACAAATTATAAAATTTACCACATTTAAACTAAATATTACATATTGCAACTATTGCAACAAATTATTTTATTAGATTTTGATCGGATACCTAATATTCGATATTGTACGCAAATAAACTATCGATATTCAATATTGTACGCAAATAAACTATTGATATTCAATATTGTACGATAATGAAAATATCGGTCAAATAAATCAGCATGATCGGCATGATCCTATAGGTAATACTGTATATCTAATAATAAATCCTGACGATCAAAATCCCGTTATAAACTCAAAATTTCGAGACTCCGACACTCATTATTATTATTTCGCAATAATATGATTTGTTCTTATTGCACAAGTAAAATTTTGTATAAATTAATATTTTTTAGTTTTTATCGCAACAATATTTTTTAATTCTTTTTATACTTTTTAAAACAATTATGATTATCATAATATTGCAGATTAATGTGTCTTGAATATTGAGCTTCAGGATTTTTTCTAGATTTCATAATGAACCCGAAAAATCATTATACCGTTCCACATAATAACATTAAATGATACAATTTTAAGAGAGTAAGCTATAAATTTCACACGGAAAAAAAATTTTCACATTTCAGTCTCCAATGTCTCATTTGTTTGTCCACTGTAATATGAAAAGGGGAACTCGAATTGAATTGACTGAACCAGTATTGAACCGGTTTTGATGTTTGTGTTTTACTTACTTACTTAGCTTAAGACGCATCTGGCCTTATAAGAATTCAATATCTTTTAATTAGCCAATCAAAATAATCGACATTCTAATGAATGACAATTAATGGATAAAATATATAAATGTCTTACCGACTAATAAATTTTTTTTTCTAAAAAAAAATGCAGGAGAGCGCCTGTTCGACGGTAATAATGCCAATACTATTGAACACAACACAAATATTTACCAAATGATAATCGATTTTTGCTTAATTTAGATTCAGTACAGTAAGTACAATAAGATGATACATAAGATGGATACACATATTATTATACATTATTGAGCCTAAACCTTGTTATGTTTCATGAAAAATTTTTTTGGTGCCTTATGTGATTTATATTTGGGTTGAGAATGAAATTCTCTAAACAAATAAAGGCGTAGCTCGCGTTATATTAAAAACAAACGACTAAAAATGAGTAGATTGGCTTAAAAAAAAATCTCTTTTATTCCCAATTATCCTTTTATTGGAATGTGGTACTTTACTGTACTTTAGAATTCTAAATAATAAAGTTTAAACTTTCTTTTTAACTAGTCAAAGAACTAGATTGTGGGCAAAGAAATGATTCAATTGTACGACGTATTTTATATATTAATAAAAGCGTAAACCCTTAGTTTCGCGATTATTTTTTATCTCTCGTATATTATTTTTTAAAAAAAATAAGAAAATGATTGATTCAATTTCTTTAGTTGGTTTTCTCGTGTTAGGAATTATAGGATGGATTACTTATAAAATATATATTTGGCCAAATTATATTTCTCCTTTGAGAAAAATTCCTGGTCCACCATCCGAAAATCCATTTTTCGGAAACATTAAAACATTTATGAAGGAAGAGGTAATTTATTTCTTATTTTTAACCTTAACCTATTTTAACTATTCGCTTAATATATTTTCTTTTTTTTTTTTAATATAGTCTGGTGAACCACAACTTAGATGGATAAAAAAATATGGAAATATTATAAAAGTCCATGGAATATTTAATGAACCAATTGTTTTTGTCGCCGATCCAAAAATTATTCAAGATATCTCAGTAACTCGTGCTTATGATTTTATTAAACCTCCTGGTTTATTGGCTGATTCTATTGCAGTTGCCGGTAGAGGTCTTATATACGCAGAAGGTGATGACCATAAAAGACAGAGAAAAATGATAAATCCAGCTTTCACTCATAGTAAAATCAAAGTAATTAATTAATTATATTTAAAAAAATTTAACCTTTGATTTTTTAAGCTAATACAATACATTTAATTTATTTAGGAAATGGTTCCGAGATCTATTCCTATAGTTATGACATTAAAAGGTTTAATTGAAGATAAAATAAACCGAGGGGAATCTAATATTAATCTTACACCCTATATATCAGAAGCTACTTTAGATATTATTGGCTTAGTAGGTGAGAGAAAAAAATAAAATAATTTGCTTTATTTGTTTTCATATTGATATTTCACATTCTAATACGCATTTTATGATAAAATAATCGTAATATTTTTTTTTTAGGATTCAATTGCGAATTTAATTCGTTAAAATCTCCAAACGAATTGGCTGAAGCTTATGATTCTCTTATGTGTTCTCCAGTTAACGCAATCAATATTATATCAAACTATGCACCATTCGTTAGAAAACTTCCCTTGGAAGTAAATAAAAAATTCAGAAAAGAATGTTCAATTATTGATCGTGAATCAAAGAAACTGGTTGAAGAAAGATGTAAGGAAGCTGAAAATGGAGAATTAAAGAAAAACGATTTGTTGTCCATAATAATTAATACCAATAGAACATTGCCTATTGAAGAAAAAATATCCAAAGAAGAATTAAAATATCAGGTAATCGAAAAAGATTACTTATAAATTATTTAAGTGTTTATTTATTAATCATTTTTCTCATTTTGTAAATATTTCAGATTAAAACATTTTTAGTAGCAGGACATGAATCTACAAGTGTCTCAATTTGCTGGGCTTTATATTACCTTTCACAAAATCTGCATGAGCAAGACTTATTGCGTGAAGAATTAGTTAAAGCTTTTCCTGATAAATCAAAATTTAATCCTACATTTGATGAACTTAATTCTTTGGAGTATTTAAATTGCGTAATTAAAGAAACTTTAAGATTGGCTTCTCCAGGTATAGTCTTTATTTGATAATTAAAAAATATATAAAGTCATCTTACTAACTTTATGGTAACTTTTTACTTTCACTAGCAACATCTGCTAGGCGAACTAATACTAAAGATGAAGTTTTTGGTGATTATTACATTCCAAAGGTATTTATTTTTATATATATATATATTTTTTTTGTTAAAAATTCAGTACTTAATTAAATTTTTTTATTTAGGATACTATAATAATGATGGCGATTTCGGTACTTCATAGGTTACCTGAAATCTGGGGCTCAACAGCCGACAATTTCGTTCCAAAAAGATGGTTGGATCCTTCTTTGGCTAAAAATACATCAAATTTAATTTATTTACCTTTCCTTAATGGTCCAAGAAGTTGTATAGGCAATAAATTAGCTTTAACTAAGATCAAAATATTGTTATGTATGTTAATTAGAAATTTTGTTTTTAAACCGATTGAAGGATTTCACATTAGAAAAAGAATTATCCCTGTAACTAAACCTGATCCATACCTCGGATTAGATGTTTCTGTTGTTGAATCTTAACAAAATTACCAGTTTAAATTTTTTACTGATTTTTTTTTATATATATATATTTTCATGGCGTAAATGGTATTATTGATTAGGGTCAGGATTTAGGATTATGATTTAGGGTTATGGTTAAGATTTAGTATTAGGAAAATTTTCACAACATATACAACATATTATTCATAAATAAAATATTTTTTTTTACAGTAAAGATGTGTAATAAATAATTATTATAATAATTGGATAAATCCAAAAAATAAAAATTTTGTTTCTTTGCTTTTAGCAAAATCGGTATTAAATTTATAGGCTTTAATAAAGCTAATATGGCGTATTATAAATAATAAAGTTCTAGTAATTAAAGTCAAAAGACTAAATAAAGCGATAGTATATACTGCACATTCAACTATCTGAAAAAAGAAGAAAATAACAAAATGTTAACAATGATTTCATTAAAAAAGATCAATTAAAAAAAAATATCATATTAACCTATCATTGTCTTTCGTTTCAGTCCGGACAATCTATATCTCGGATTTAGATACTGAATGTTACGAGACTTTCCGATACGATATTTGTTGTAAAAGTCGCAATTTCTTTAAAAAAGGGACAAATAACCAAAGAACGGCCATCTACAAAGAAAAAAATAAATATTAATGGTCGTTACGTTAAAAGAAATTAAGAAAAAAACTTTTCCACTTACCAAAATCCCAAACCCAACCTCCAAGAACTGCCGAAAAAAAAACTGTTAGTATATTTAATTAAAATACAAATCAAAAACAGAAAAAAACTCACCAAAATCCCAATTCAACCTCTCTCACCAAATTCTCATGCGCCCGAATACCCGAAGAATTAAGTCATCTAAATAAAAAAAGATAAATGAGCGTTTAATGCTTTTTCCTACATTTTGACTTAAGAGATAAAAGATCTTTAATAAGTAGTTAAAAATTGAATAACCTGCCAAGGTTGAATAACGTCTTCTTCGCTTTTAATGACCAAGTGATTGAGGGCAAAAGAAGTTGTTTCTTTTTTATTAGGAAATGAAATTCGGTAACCAAAGATTTAAGTTGGCTAGGGATGTCCAGCAAGCTGAATCAATCAGAGCAGTGTATCAATGATAGTAGATCAGAACATTTTTCTTGTTGAATTATTCTTTAAAAGTGGTAAAAGAGAGAACAGTGATGGTATATCCCAAATTATGTGATTCAACCTCAGTTTCCCTTGAACTCATATCAGCCATCCAACTTCTCTAATAATTCCAAAAATTAGTTCATTGGTAATTCATCCTTGACGTGCAGATGATGAGCACGACTCCGTGAAGTTCTCAAAGTGACTATAAAATCCAGGGAAGTTCAATCGTATAGAAGACTTCTAATTTATTATCTATGAATAGACGTAAAAACGTAAAGCCAAAGAGGCTGAAGAGATGGCGAAACGGATTTTAGCCAATAGTGATTATTTGGCTCTTAATTTTTAATTCATAAACCCCATTGTTATTCTTTGGTATTTTGCCGAAAATTTTTCTCAATTAACTACACATTAACTACACGGAGATTTTTTTTTAGGCTCCAAATCACTTTTACTTGCATGGATCTAATAAAAAAAAAAAAAAGGAAAAGAAATTATTAATCTTTCTTTAAAAGACGAAATAAAAAATTAAAAAAACAATTAGACTCACCGAAATTCCACGTCCCAAAAGCCTAAGAGCAAGCCGCCTAAGAGAAGAGATAAAGAAACGAACTGTTAACAAAGTCCGTTAAAATAAAAATAATAAAAAAAAATAATTAAAGTCTTACCGAAATCCCAAGCTAAAGAGCCAAGAGCCGCTAAAAGGAAAAAAAAGAATTGCTAGTAGCAGTTCGTTAAAGTAGCTAAATTAAGGAAAATAGAGAAGAAAAAAGTACTGAAACCCACGTGTCCAAAGAAATCCAGCTGATTTTTTCGGAAATCAAAATTTCGGGATAAGCAGTAGGCTTAGTATTTTCTGTTTTCTTTCCCTCTGATTTTCTTCATCTTCCTCACCGATTTTTTTTCTCGAGATTAATTTTACTTGTATTTTTTTTTTCAAACTCCTTTTTTTTGAAATAAATTTATCATTAGATCACATTATTATATGAATAAAAAAAAAAATCTTTGGTTTCGTCTTGCAATGCAGGTATTACCTTATCCTTAGTATCTGTTTCTTTCCCTCTGATTTTCTTCATCTTCCTCACCGATTTTTTTTTCTCAAGATTAATTTTACTTGTATTTTTTATTTTAAACTATCATTAGATCACATTATTATGAATAAAAAAAAAAATCTTTGGTTTCGTCCCACAATGCAGGTATTACCTTATCCTTAGTAAGCTTAGCTTTAATTGTATTTTCTATTTTCTTTCCCTCTGATTTTCTTCATCTTCCTCACCGATTTTTTTTTCTCAAGATTAATTTTACTTGTATTTTTTATTTTAAACTACTTTTTTTTTTGAAATAAATTTATCATTAGATCACATTATTATATGAATAAAAAAAAAATCTTTGGTTTTGTAGGTAATGCCTGATGTTTTTTTTTTCAATAACAGGCAGTGCGATCCTTGCGAGGGTTTGGTTTATACTAGTATAGTGGCACGTTGTAGTTTCTTTTGTAAGGGCTCAGTTCCCGAACTAACATGGCTCTCGTCATTGTCTACATTTTTAAAATAAAATAAATAAAATTAGTAGGCTTAGCAGGATTATTAGGCTTAGCTTTTTTATTAATATTTATTCATAAACTACTTTTACTTTGTACCTTAAGTATTAAAATAAAGTAATAATCTCCAGCTGACTAAAAAAAGAAAGCGAACATTTAGTAAAAAGTTCGTTAAAATAAACAAGTTAAAATAAAAAAGAAATTAATAAATGACTTACTGAAAGCTCAAGCTGAAGAGTCACTTAAAACAGAAAAAAAGCGAAACTTAAGAAAATAAAGTCCCCGATTAAAAAAAAAAGCAGATCTTTTTTTTTTTAAATATTATATCACGTGATACTCGATGAACGTTTCATCTGATATTTGATACATTAAGGAAAAATAATTATATTATATACAAATTTATTTATCGCATTTTTACTAATTTATAACTGTTCTACTGGTCTTATATCTGGAATAACTATAACTATGGTATGTCCCTTATTATAAGTTTGCTAATCTATATATTTTATATTTTTATTTTATGGTAAAACGCGCTGAATTATCAGCAAATTCATGCTACTTTCCAAAAGCTACAATATATTATACATCAGTATTTATTATATATATAAGTCATTATTAAATCGTAACTTATACATAAATGTAACTTTGCTGCATCATAGTTCTTGCCTTTATGCTCAAACTTGACTTATCTCCTATCATCAAACACCCTGTTTTGTACGCAACCAAAAGCGTATCTCGAACATCTAAAAGGATAATGATAAGTTAAAAATATAAAAAAATATTATGAATATCTAAGAGAATAATTTTATCTCCTGATTAAATTTCGCTTAATTTATGTGCAATTTCTCCCTCAACTTTATATATATATTAAGAATAAGTAAATTAGTATAAATTTTTGGGATAATAATACTTTAATGTTGGTCTAAATTATAGTCTGTTTAAATCTGAGATTCATAATCTTTCTCAGCTATAATCGTCACATGTCAATATCGATACTAAAAATATGATAAGTGGGTTAAGTACTATATGGAGTTGAAAAGCAGGAAAATTTTCTCCGATGATATATATTTGACTCATGGTCAACTTTTTAATATAAACTAAAATTAATCTTTATAAGTTTACAGCTTAATTATACTTTTTATATACTCTTACTTATTCAATAAAATAAATAGAAATAATGTTATTACATAATATTTATCAATATAATCATAATAAGTCCGTGTAAACCGTGGGAAGCTGGAGACTATATAGACTATCTGAGTTAATTTATTTAATAGACGCGAAAACTGATATTTTTCACGTTTTCGTGTGTTTATTGTTCATAGTTTATAAAAAGTTTGTACAACAAAAAAATATATAAAAAGG